CGCTCCCCCTCCCACCATTCCCACCTTCCCCAGCCTTTGACGCGGCAAGACATGCAAGACGTTGCGCACCTTACAGCAGGAACCTGTGATCCGGCGCGGTGGCCCCTTGGCTTGTATGCAGCTCATGTTCGAGTGAGAGCTCCCTCCTCCTGCCCGTGTTGCGTGCCCTGCAATCCCTACGAGGCAGTATTCCACAGACTTCAACCGATCCGGCAATCGCTGGGGTGCCTCGGCATTGGTTTTTCGAACCCAGGCTGCGACTGCAGCGAATCCATGGAACTCGCGCTTTCTCGCATGCCGACCGAGCGGGATGTGCAGGTGCTACTTCGACCGGGATGAGCTGCCGAAGGTACCGCACAGGGGGCTTGCATCCAGCACAGGAGAGTCAGCTCAAACATGCTGCAAGTCCTAGCCGTGCGAGGTAAAGCCAATTTGTTACCAGTAGCAAACCGAATCTTGATTCTGGCTGATTGCAAAATTGCAAAAATGTAGACCCCCGATCAATAAAAGCCCTTCAATTCGTTGAGTCTGAAATGTTATAGGATCCCTATCTATCAATCTGCATCTATCAATCTATCTGTATATATCTATCTATCTGTATGTATATATATATACATATATGTATATGTATGTATATATATATATATACGTACGTGTATATATGCCATATGCCCTTTGCCTTTTACGGTCGACTCCAGCGACTGGCCTCGTGGAGGCGGCTCTGGGCCTGCATTTTTACGGAGCGATGCCGATTGAAACTTTGAGGAACCTGGGCAGTGACTCGGAAATGGATTTAGGGTTTAGGGTTTAGGGTGACTTGGAAATGGACATGCCCTTTTAAGACGGCGTAGGACGTGGGATAGTGTAGAGGGTTGGGTATTGTGAGACACTTGGTTGACGCAGAAGGTGCTTGAATGTAGACTTATCTTCTTGTGGGAATGCAGGGACCAGCACACACTTTTTGCCGTTGGGAAAAGCTTGAAACTATAGCCAGCTGAAGCCAGACACAGGCCTGCCCTTTATTTTTCGTAACTTCATGATCTATTTTTCTTGAGCCATCTGAGGTTGGCATCGAGCTCTGGCCACGGAAGAAACCATCGGCGATATGCCCGTGTTGGCAGTTGCAAGATGGATTCCATCGGCATCCATCGGTCTCGTTCCACGGCCGACAGCCACGACAAATGCCAGCACTGGGTTGCTCCCTGGTCATCCCACGGTCAAGTTCAGCAGAAGGTATCCAAGTGAGGTTTCTGTTGCTGCACTGTGCTTGAAGCAACCCTAGTTATAGTTCTGATTTGTGACACAGAGTTTGCTCTCCAGAACATGGAGAAGCACAACTTGGTCCCTTGGGTGGTTGGCTTTGCAGTAGCTTGGAGGGGGGAGCGAACCCTGAAAAAGCATTTAGATCTTGGAGTTGTGCTTTTGTGTTCGTGGCCCCCTTCCAACTCTGATGTGTGCCGAAGGGCTCCTCAAGAAGCCTCCCAGACGGGGATCCCGGAAGCGATCACCCAGATAGTGCCTATGCTGGCATGCGTGGGAGGGTACAATCCCCGTCGCAGGCCTTTCGCATCACATGCAGGTGCAGGCTGGCCTGGCTGAGGTTAGCGACTATTCTCTAGCACATGCATTGCGACCGCGCGGGGGGGAAATTAAAGTCGTCCACGCCACTCGCGCCAGAGCTAGGCAACAGGAACGGACGAGTGGAACAGGGTTCATCGGCGCCCCCAGAACAGTGCGACTGCACAACAGATGGGGGTGAGGAATTGAAGTCGTCCGCGCCACTCGCGAAACTCGCCACTCGCGCTGTAGACGAAAGGAATCAGTGCAGCAGGTAACGTACAGGGCGAGTGGCTATAGAAGTGCGCGAGCCTATGTCAAGGGGGAAATTCTTGAGGATCATTCGGGGGGTCTTATTTCCCAGACCGCTTTTTTTCGGCGGGAGAGGCGAGGGGGGTTGATTCCAGAATTTGGCAAAGGACAAGCTGAATCAAAACGGCCGTAGTCGTTGTGCTGTTCAAAGTATCCTACTACTGCCACAAAATTGCCACGTACCCTTGCATCATTAACTGCAACTATTCCTACGACTGCGACTGCTGCTACTGCTTCCACAACCACCATCACATACTTGTGGTGTCGAAACTAAACTGAACAGTGCACAAACTGTAGCTACACTTGTTACATTGTGGCGTCGCTTGCTTTGACCTTCGAGTCCGGTTCTATTCTAACGTATCAGGTACGGGCTTGGTCATGTACAGAAATCTTGGGTGCAAGCAAAAAGGGACCCGCACAAATCCGAGCTGATGCTCAGATTTTCCCTCCTCTGAAAATGTTCTGCCCCCCTGCCCTTCATCCTCCCTTCCTACCTCCTCTATAAGCACTGGGTTGGGTTGGATGTCCTTTGGGTTTTGGGGGGCTTTTGGCTTGGCTTGTGGGCTGGCGGGGCGGTGGTGGCACAAGTTGGTGTGACAACTGGGCGGTGGCACAAGTTGTTGGCACGGTAAGGTGTTGGTGCACAACTTCTGGGTGCAAAGCAACTTTGTGGAGCACCACCTGCTGGTGGCAGTGCGTGGTGGCGCAAATTCATGGTTGGCGGAAAGGTGTTGGTGCACAACTTCTGGGGTGCGAAGCAGCTTTGTGAAAGCACGTGGTGGCGCAAGTGGGTGGTTGCGGTGGCGCAAGTTTGGCACCCGAACCGCCCTAATATTAAAACCAAACCCTGGATTTCCCAAGTTTATATAGGCTGCAGGGGAGCTTTACAAAAAGGGGCAAGCCACAACTCCAAACCCTCAGAATAGAGCAAACTCAACCCCCCAAAAAATAGCCTCAAGGGGTTGGGTGGGACTTTGGGACGACAACAACAACAATAACATCAACAAC